AGGCAATGTGAGTAATGCCTAAAACCAGGCATTGTTAACAATACCGGCCTAGGTTCCAAACCACCCCCGGCAATGTTAACAATGCCTGGCCTTAGGCAATGTSAACAATGCCTARYMCGCMAAYTTTTCTTTGCCATTTTTTGAACGTTTGCAAATTGATTTATAACACAAATTTGTACTCTACGTGTAGAGAAAAAAGTGCACTTTAATTTAATATAAGTTTTATTAAAATTTATTTGCAAAAAGTATAAAAAATATTTGCCAAAACTTTTTAAAGAAATGGCAAAGTAGGAAATATTTACATCATTGCATTAACTGATATTTTCTAAACCTTTGCAAATTGATTTATAACTCAAATTTGTATTCTACGTGTAGATAAAAGAGTGCACTTTAATTTAATATAAGTTTCATTAAAATCTATTTGCAAAAAGTATGCGAAATATTTCCTGAAACTTTTCAAAGAAATTGCATAGATGCACTATTTACAGCATTGCATTCTCTGACATTTTCTGAACATTTGCAGATCGATTTATAACTCAAAAAGGTACTCTACGCGTAGCTAAAAGAATGCTCTTTAATTTAATATAAAAATCATTAAAATCCGTTTGCTAAAAGTTTAAAAAATATTTGCCAAAACTTTTCAAAGAAATTGCATAAATGCACTATTTACAGCATTGCATTCTCTGACATTTTCTGAACATTTGCAGATTAATTTATAACTCGATATAGTATTCTACGCGTAGCTAAAAGTGTGCACTTTAATTTAGTATAAAAATCATTAAGATCCGTTTGCTAAAAATATAAAAAATATTTACCGAAATTTTTCAAAGAAATTGCAAAGATGCACAATTTACAGCATTGCATTCTCTGACATTTCCTAAACTGTACATGCTAAATTTATAACTCAAAAAAGTATTCTACGCGTAGATAAAAGAGTGTACTTTAATTTAATATATGATTTATTAAAAATTATTCACTCTAAGTATAAAAAATATTTATCAAAACTTTTCAAAGAAATTGCTAAGATGCACAATTTACAGCAATGACTGATTTCCGGCTTTGACGGTAACATATATATAAAATATATATAAATACTTTAAGTTTCAATTAATAATTCTTTCAATATATTTCCATTATTCTTTATATCTATACAATAATTCATTGTATAACATAATAATACATTTTCAAACCATTTATAGAAAAAAAACTATTTTCCAAAGTTCTTAGCCAGTTCAACGGGTATAATATAACAATATTTTATTCGTCTATTGCATTTGCATATACCGTTAAGGGTTATTTTGTGTTCTTTTTTTTTTATTTTTTTTTAAATAATCCAACAACAACACAGATCTTTTATTCCCTGAGAAAGATAAGAATGAAAGAAAGAAAATAGGCGCGTTAATACAGGTGCGTGTGAACGGTGGTGGTAATGGTGATAATGGTGGTGATGGTGATGGTGGTGGTGGGTTATGATTATGGTTGTGTAGCGCGCGTGCCCATTCGTGCGAATCGCGTGCACATCCATGGTAGCGAGGTCATGCTAGAGTGCGAAGTTAATTTACTGGAAGCACCGACAACGTTAACCACGTCTCTCTCTCTCACTCTCTCTCTCTCTCTCTCATTTTTTTTCTGTCTCATTTTTTCTCTCTCTCAGGAGTTGGAGTTACCCCGTTTACCTGGTAAAAAGCGTGCAACCAATTTCATTCCGCTATAACGGAGATGGTCAACGATAATCTTTCTCTTTCTCTCTCTTTTTGTCTCTTGGTTAGAAAAAAAATTAAAATAAAAT